CTGCCCCCTCCCTGGAGGTGTTCAAGGCCAAGTTGGATGGAGCCTTGAGTATCCTGATCTAGTTGAGAGGCGTCCCTGCCCATGACAGGGAGGTTGGACTAGATGATCTCTAAGGTCCCTTCCAGCCTAGGCCATTCTATGTTGCAAACATCTGAACTATTCTATCTGGGGGAAAAAAAAAAGAAAATAAGAGGAAAATCAATCTACTGAAAGTTTCTGTAAAATTTGCCCCTGTGATTTGGCAAATGTAGCTACAGCTGTGGATCCTTAAAGTGGAAATGTTTTTAACTTTGTCAAGAGGACTGTCTCAGATCTGCATATAACATTAATGTTTATTCTATATTATTCAATTATTTTTTTCTGCTCTGAAGCATGATTTCTGAGGGTTTTTTAACAGCATTTAGCAAAAGAAGTGAAGAGTTTAACAAGACTTAAAAATCATGGTTTTTCTTTTGATAAAATTGAAAATATTCTCTCTTCTTTTGGAAACACATTGAAAAAAGAGAATGTATTTATTAGGATATAATTGTAGCTTCTAATTGGGAAGATCAGTAAATCATTTAATAAGTTATTTTTTGTAAGTACACATTCTTACAACATCCCAATCATTTTTATATTTTAAAATTATTTTTAATAACTATTTCTATGAGAATTGTAGTTAGATGTACCGGAAAAGCAACATATTGTGGACAAAATTAATGAGAAATCTCTTTAATGAAGAGGTTTTATTTAAAGACATTGAATTTCTTTGAAATTCATTGAATTACTGAATTGGGTTGCCAAAGTTGAATTTTGCTCCAGATTGTGTAGATATGTGCCTAAATTCATACTTTCTGCCCTCTGATTAGTAAGTCAGCTCATCTTTTTGTATTATTTAGGGTTTCTGGCTCAACTGTTCATTCTCAAGGCTGTCATACATACTTTTATGCAGCAAGAGACATGATGCTGACTGCAGACACTGGTTTTCCTCCACACATGGTGGTAATGCATATACTGCATCTTCCGTGCAAAATACTGATATACTAAAAATAAATTATATTTTCAGTGTGGAGAGAAAAAACACAAGTCTGTGCTATTTGTATTTTAATATCTATATTATAGTATTAAAATGGTTTAGAGATAGATTTTAATGAATAACTATTAAATCTATTATACAGTTATACAGCTCTGCTTCGATAGTAAGAAGAAACAAACATGCACTCACCCCCATGATTTTATGAATAGATGTTTTTTCAAACTAAAGAAAGAGCTAGTAGCATTGCAATCATAAAATTTTGTTATTTCTACTTCCTCCATAGTTATATTAGCAATGTAAATAAAACAATGGTACCTTAATGAAAATTCAAACAGCTGATAGACTGAACTAGCCAGTTAAGAGCAAGTAAATATTTTTTCCTGAAAGCTACCTCTCCATCTTGAACTGTTTGTCTTAATGCATTTGGCCATCTGCCACATAACTTCAAAGGATGTAACTTTGAAATTAGTCAAGGTATTTTCTTTTTCAATGCAGTGGCATGTTACAGCCCCTATTTTCTACACCACTTGAAGGAATATAGCAACTGATACGTTTTACAGTAGTTAGGACTGTGGAGAAATTAATTCATTTTTATGAATCCATTTGGATAAGGAGATCAAATAGGCTCTGTTGAATCCAGTCAAGGAATGATTTTTCTAAGGGTGAGGAGTTCCTCAGACAGATCCATTGACAGAATAATGTTCAGC